GAGTGAGTGAGTTAATACCTAGCACTGCTGCTTACAGACTTTGGTGTGCCCAGGCCTTCTCCATGTCTTGCTTCTGTGTGATTACCAGCAGCAGCATCCCGAGGCCTGTGCGACGCACGGCCCTCGCATCGTCGCGAATCCTCTCGCGAATCGAGATGCTTTCTTTCCGGATGTCGTTGATGTTGGACTTGAAGACCAGCCGATAGGGGATTGAAAGCAGCAAGCGGCGGTACTGAGCTTTCTCCTCCTCGTCCTTGGCCAGTGTGCAGCCGAACAGCAACGCAAACACCGGCTCCTCCGGCGACATCCTCTTGAAGCTACCCGCGTTCGCGGCCACATCATCCTCGAAGCCATCCGAGGCAATGTGGACGAGGAATGTGTGGCTCGCTGGGGGCCCGCCCTGGTAACGAGACTCCACAAGCTCTTTGATCCCTCGCACGTTCACGGGCGTCAGCGGATGCGGACGCCATCGCAAGTCATGAAGAAACACCGTTCCCTGGAAGTCGAAGGAGCCGGACGCCGCCATAGCTGCAGAGCAGGATGCCTGGTCGAACTTCGAAGCGGTCCCGCCCTCCTCCACGGATAGAGGAGCAGCCTCTTGAATGTCCGGATACATGTCAAGAACCTGTGTCAGCACCGCTTCAAACTCCTTCGTGAAAGCCGTGTTGAAGTCCCCTGCCATGCCCTCGCCATCGGCACGGCCCAGGCGTTGGTCCCGGCACTTGAATCCTGGCTCCGCCGCTGGCTGCTCCGCCTTTCGCTTCGGCATGACAACGAGAATCCCAAGGGCTGCAATGCTTGAAAGAGGCGCGCTCCCAGGATCACGCACAATTCCCCCCTGGACGGCCCTCGCCCTCGCCCTGCACGGCTCCATTAAGGGTTTAAAACAGTGCATGCGTTGCTAGACCGGGGCCGGCTTTTAATTAGCCGAAGCTATAAAACCTAGCACCGTACACCCAGAACTGTAGGAACGATGAGCCACTCTAGTGCTTTTAATNNTACCTAGGAGAGTTCGCGTTCTTGTGTAGTTCAAACCGAAAACCCTAAACCCGAAATCCTAAACCCACAACCCGAAGCCCTGAACTCACACCCTGACCATGAGCCCTAGGCCCTAATTCTTAACCCTAACCCTAATTCTTAACCCTGACCCTTGGCGCTCCGAAACCTGTGGCTGGCACTCTGAGGCAGCCGACCCTGAGACAGCCCCCG